TGGAAGACCTTGGCTAGTAGTCTTGTAAACCATTCTAAGTCGATCTTATTATATTCTCATAAGCTCCTTATCCAGGTGCTGGCAAAAAGACACTTAGTTTGGAAAACCCTTCTGCTCAATATGGAAATGGGGATTAGTTGCTAACTTTCGTTTGTATCTTCTAAGCCTGCTTATATTACGCATCTTATTCTCTCACAGAAGTTGTAGTTGTTACACAGGACAGACTAGATCTCCTTTCCTACGTCCATTGTGGTTAGTGTTCCTCATCCTTCAGAGGTTTGGACACGTAAACATGACTAATCACTCCCATTTGTGTTAGTGTGGATCTTTCTGTAACAGCAGCAAATCAACACAACAAGGAGACTAACAGCCAATTAGCAGGAGTGATGAACAAAGCTCCGCTCAACTGATAATACAACAAGTACATGAAGAAACGACTGACGTGCATCTGGAGTTAACATATGTCCCTTTGGGATGAGTGTCTTTAATCAGCATTTCATGGTACATGAGTGTGTGTGCGTGTGTGTGTGTGTAAAGAGAGATGTTGGAGAAGATGAGATATGTGTAGGTACATGAAAGTAAATCAGTGTCTTTAAAATGTGTTTGAAGCATTTAGTTGCACAAAAAACTATCATAGTGCTGGATACTTGCAAAACAATCCAAAAACATAATTTTAATGCTCTGTCTTATACGTGCCAGATTAGTGAAGTGTGTGATCACTGCACTGTAAGAATGACAGCCAATGCATACTTTGCCAGGTTACCCAAATTCAAATGTACTAACCTGACACTAATAAGTTCTAAAATACTTTTTCTGGCCCTGCTCAATGTGTCATAGCAGTTGTAATACTGTATTTGAGCCACTAGAGGTCATCCTAAGCAAATGCTTAAATAGATACCAGTCCTCCAAGAATCTCTGGTACTGTAGTGGTGGTTGTATTGCTGCATGTGAAAGACCATAAGGGGCAATAACGTCATATGCAGCAATGCACCATATAGGATGTGGGGAAATTAAGATACAAGAGAGCTCAGAAATGGAAGTTAATTATCAATGTTAAACATTTTTATGAAAAATAGAAAAAACTGTGCCCTCTTACTTTGGGTAACTGTAAAAACACATGTACAGAACATGTTACTTGTGCTATGTCATAGAATTTCCTTAACATTTAATCCTCTGATTAACTAACCCATTTGAGAGACCTTGAGCAAGTTATAGAATCCGACTGAGCAGCTGACCATACATTTTTATCTACATGTAGACAGCAGCAAGTAAAAAGATAAATATCTCCTTCAGGGATCAATAAACTATATATATATATATACATACACACATATATACACACACACACATACATACAAACATACAGAAGTATCACTATTCCTACCAAGGATCATCAGTCATCTTTGGCATGCATTTGGTCATAGGTGCAAAATTTGTGCCAAGACCCTCTCTCCCGGGGTTCATTCATTTCTACAAGCCCACCAGGCCACCACATGCTGCATGTTAGCATTACTTTAATCAAGTCTACAGTAGTGAGCCAGGCCATTCAGAATGACAGTCAACACAGTAGCGCTGGTCCCTGTGGAGAGCACCATGACCAGGCCTTGACAGAGACTCAGCGATGACCTTGCTGCATTACTTGCTTTGAATTACGGCCCTGGACTGTAGTGTAAAAGCCACAGGGGGAATATGCCTGAGTTTCAGAGCTATGATCAAGGAGGGCCATCACAGACCATCAACATCCTGCTTTATGGCTCTATTTATCAACATTATATACTGCTGCCCTGGGTGATGACTGTGTTTGGCTAGTAACAAAGGAAAGGAAAACTTGGTGTTATTGTATTGTCTCCTACTAATCAGAGGAGCACAGTGATATAGAACAGTTAAATGTAATTAAGGTGCACATGTACTATGGGAATAAAATCAATTCCCTTCATAAATGTTACACTGTCTCACAATACCCGGCCTACAATAAATCTGAAACACACAATCAATTAACAAAATATAATAAAAAGTATAGAATTTATCTTGGTGGCACTGAAGCAGAAATAAATTTAAAACAACTCTTAAAACTTGTAGCTGCTGAGGCAGAGCTGGAACCTGAGCCCTCTTAGCTGATTTGACAGTCTGTGTTGGTGCTCAAACACTCAATTAACAAATTGGTCACTTGGTCAAGTTGATCACAACTTTTTCAACTTTTCAGACAAAATGGGCACATTTCATACACCTTTTGGTCCAGGTTATCTTGAGATCAAAGAGTAATTGATATTTTATATGTTTAATGAGCAATTAATTTTTTTTTAAAAATCGGTAGTTTTGAGAGTAAGAACAATCATTTGTTGCAGCTGCACTCTGTGCAACCTGTGGGCCTGCCGCCACACATCAATGAAGAAATGTGACCCTGTGGATGACCCTGATGAAAAGATCTTGCTAACAAGCAGAAGTGCCTCAGTGCATTGACAGCAGAGCAGTGAGTGAAGGCGTACATAGATTGTGTGTCACCACAGAGCAGCAGCGCTGAGGAGATTGGAAACTATAATTGGGGGCCCATGTTGCAGTGGGAAATAAAAAAGAGCAAGTTGTGGGGTTGCTATTCCTCAAAGTGTCAGAGATTTCTTAGCTAACCAGGGTGAAAGCAACACTGAGTTTCAACAATTAACATTATGATAGATTCTTTTACAGAGCTACTGGTGCAATAAATCCTTGAAGTGATGCTTTGATTATAAAAACCTTTGCCATGCACCTTTATAGCAGCTGTTGTGTGTGCATATGTTTATATGACCTTCCTTTACAGTAGTGTTACTATGCAGGAATAAGGTAATTTACTCAAGAGAATAACCCCTGCAGGTAAAGACTGCTACACAGCAAAGACAAAGTGGGAAGAATGAGTAAGAGACAAACAAAGAGTGCACTTTGCCTTACAAAATATTTATGTCAACAAATCCAATTTGCCACCAGGCACTACATCCTGTCACTGTACAGACGGCGGATGAGCTATCAGACCCTCCACTGTATGAAGCTGTCAACAAGACACTCTATTCACCCCCTTTGTCACATACTCTCATCTCAAGTCAGGACATGGTATGACCGACATGAAGAAATGTGAGCATATACACACACACACACAGACACACACACACACGAATGCGTATGCACTAAAATAGCATCTGAAAGGAACTACTTTGTTATTCTCCAGTTGTCAGAGTGAATACCTAGACTCAGTGGCTGAGAACATCTGGCTAAACTATGTAAACAGGAAGCATAGTTTCCCTTAACAGCTACTACTAAAGTGCTCTTCAGTACAGAACATAAACTGATAGCTGCTTTGCTCATTGAGCCCTCCAGTCACTGCATACAGTAAATATGTTTCTACAGGTCTGCATACATGCATCTATTCCAGTCCTTTAAAGATGTCCCCTATACTTTCCCACCACTTTCATTTGAATGGTTTACTTTTCCTCAAATGCAGAGTAATCTTCTCTTTCAGTGAGTGCTTTTCCACTTTTACCAACATGCTTTTCCACAACTCCCTGGGTAGATGTGTGCTGCATGGTGCTTTTGATGCATACAGCCAAAGAATGTAACTACAATTATATTAGCACAACGTCAATTTAACATCTTATATGCCTCTTCTGTGATGAGTCCAAATCACAAATGTTGGTGCATTTTTGGTGTGTCTACAAAAAAGGCAGTAAAACTTTATACAACTAATACAACTATTATTGTTTTATTTAGATATTTGTCCTTTTTATATTCAAAATCTCCTTTTTAACTGGAAAAACATATTTGACCAGTTATCCAATACAGTATCTAATTGCAAATAATAATTCCTTAACCACAGGGTACATCAGACATATTTGTAGGTAGCTGTGTTTTTAGCAGTGTACTCCCTTTCCTTCAAACAGCAGCTAAAGATGTGATCCTGCAGTCGCAGGATACATTTGATTCTCTTCATGTCCGATCATGTTAAAAGTCTGACACCACTTTGACATTCACTTGAATAGGAAGGTGAGGTTCAGCCAGAGCTGTGGGAGTTATGCAGCAATTGTGTTACATGTCCACTAAATTCAAGATATAGGCAAATTTAATTCAATCATTTACATTATTTTACCCCTTCTAAACTACATGGGTTTAACCCCAATCTTTAATCTGCTGTTTCAGATGTGGTCCCGTAGAGGGCACTTTGCTTCATTCCACTTGGCAGTGCAGTAAACTACAAAGTCTTTGGCAGGGGATCTGTGATACTTTATCCAAAATTCATGGAATTACTTTCCCAATGGATCCCGAGATATGCCTTTTGGGCAAACTATCAAAATCTAATCTTACACATAGTCATTCCATTAAGCTTGCAGAAATCCTATCGGCCACTGCCAAAAAATGTACTGCAACGAAAATGGAAGTCAGATCTCCCATTGCCATTTTGATTGCGGCTCTCAGAAGTGAACAATTGCATACCCCGGGAAAAGACAACTTACATGCTAAGGAATAAGATTTTTTTTTTTCCTCTAAAATATGGCAACCTTTTTATCAATTTACATGGAGAACCTCGCTTCTCACATGACTGAAAGATCATCAGCATGGTCTCTATAATTTCACCACACCATTCGATTGATAGCTAACCTCTCTCTCTTTTTTGTTTGTCTTAATTTATTTTATTGTCAGTACAGTTGTGTACATGTACAGTGAGTGAGTGATTCTGTATGGTCAATTTGTAGCTATAGTATCTGGTTTATATACTATATGAAGTTAAATACTCACTAAAGGTGAGAAAACAGGTGTCTGCCAGTCTGGCCCATAAGCAGCTCAGTACTATGATTAATGGCAATTCCATATAAACTCTGATTTAATGGAATGCAGCTGCATAAAAAAAAAAAAAAAAAAAAAAAAAAACAACCTTCATGTTGATTCAGTGAAGTGCAAGAGTACAACACAGTTTACACATTACAAGTCGTGTCTGTGTATGTAAGTAGGTGGTGTAAAAACAGGCTACAAGACATTACCCAGAAGCTCCATGGCATCGTCCTCGTCCTCAATCTCTTCCTCTGCAACAGAGGGGGCCGGGCTGTGGACTGAATCAAAGGAGTCCTGGGACAACATGGCTGCCAGGAGCTTCTTATGATGCTGCTGCTGTTCCCTTAGCCCTTTGCTCTTTGTTTCCATCTTCAGGCTGAGGGAGACATACAAGAGAGGAGGCAGGGCTTAAGAGGAGCAAATATCTTTTACAATACCTTTGTTCCTATAGTAATTGCATCCGCTTATCCTTTTCTTCTCTGGCTTGCATCTAAGCAGACTCAGGCTTTCTAGCAAGTACAAAATGCTGCATTTGCCCCAGCAGTGTGCAGATGCATGACTGCATATAAAGTGTCTTTCACCACTGCTTGCACTTGGCAGCCATTCCATGGTTGTTAGGGATAAAATAGCATACAGTCATTTCAAGTGCCATGCAAGTGCAGTACAACTTGCTGTAAATGGATAGCAGGAAGAAGATAAGGAGGGCTAATGGCTCTGACATGAGCAACAGTGCAATAGTTATAGCGCTAAGCACAAACCATTAGCAGTAATCTTTAGTATTTTGACTTGAAAGCTTTCCCTGTAGTTTTTTTTTTTTTTTTTTTTTTTTTTTTTTAAATCAGTAGGAAAACCAATCAAATCCAAAAACACAGATATGCAGGAGAAGTTAGCTACTGCTTTAATTTTTAAATCATTTAAGAAAAGCAAAGGAAGGCATAGACACATATACATGGACTGTAATCATTTTAACGCTTTAACTTTAAATCATAAGATATTTAAAGAATCAGAATCACTTGTTTCTAATCTCATACTGAATGGGAGTGTTGCTCTTTTCAGCACTCCCATTAGTTTGTGTTTACATTTTATCTTTGTCTTCATACTCAACTATTTATTCTACCATGAAAGCTTAGGCTAACATTTACAACACATGGTAATTTATAACATTAGCTGCTGTTTGCCACAGGATGTAGCTATGGAAATACGCCATTTCTGCTCAGTTCATTCCTATCAGCATTAGCTAATAGCGCGGCTGTCTCCCAGGCTGTTTTCAATTCAAAACAATACATGCAAAAACATTCCCCTTCATACTTCTTTTCCCACTAGCTTTGTGTGTTTCTCAGGTGAAATTGGGTTATCTCTGTCTGAGCCTGGAACATGGAGAATGGAAGACAAATTGCCAAATATTGTCTCCAACTCCTATACAGTTAAATATACTGATACAATTGTAGAGGCTGACTTCTGCATTACCTCTATATTGGAGAAATTAATTTCCATATCCCACTGGCTGAGCGCTTGGATTAGAGAGCCGGAGTATTAATTTGATGCTAATCTCACTTTAATGACTTCTATTTACAGATAATGGGAAGGGGTCATAGGATGACAGATATTTCTTCATCCCCTCTGTATGGTCTTTCTCTGATAATTAGATCCGCTAAAACGAGCGAGGCAAGCTGTTTGGTGTGATTCTGCACATTTGCCGTTTTCCACCGTTGTCTAGTCTTAATCTAAACAAACATTCTTTGGAAGAAAGATTCAAATTTTTCTATGGTTGCAAATGAAGTATTTTCAAGCCAGAAAGTAAACTTTAACAGTGTTGCAGAGGCGAAAAAGGAAGAAGCTGTTTGAGTATCTTGTGTGGTATATGTTTTATAATGCCGTTTCACAGTATTATAGTCTCATATCCTATATTAAAATCTTTAGGTGGTGTGATCCAGTCATTAAAGAAAATATGACCGCAAAATAAAACAGGAGTATGGCTACAAAGTTAGCTTCCCCTACCTCCTTGTTCATCACCATCTTCCTCTGCTATTACAATAAGTGTTCTGTATCTGTGCTGTTGAGAGGATGAATATAGGAAGATAAAAGAAGAGGACAGAAGTTCATCTTAAAGCTCTGACTGCCACTGGATGAGAAAGTCCCATCAGACAGACTCTGTCGTAACAAGCCATTTCCTTGAATATATTTCTGCCACAGCTGCAACTGATTTCCCATGTGCCCCTTGTATTTATCCTTCTAGACTCTGCAGTCGTTCATAGAGTCACCAGCACCTGTCAACTCTCCTTACGGTCCTCAGTGACAGGTGGGCTGGAATGAGCGACAGAAGCAAGAAGATCAAAAATGAAAACAAACTTACCAAGTAAGGAGTTTTTCTGGAGTCTGAAAGTGTATGAGCACCAGAGGAGGTTGGCCTATTAAGGCTCAGACGGGACTTTAAGAGAGGGCAACGCTGGTCTTTGCCAGTTTTCCACTCACCCAGAGTGGTCATTTTTAGCTCCTCTTACACAAATTATAAACTTAACCAAATCCTAGAGTTAAGAGTAACTTGATCTGGAATTGATTAGCTGTGATACCTTACACCACACTGTAACCTTCAGCTGAAAACTGCTCCCAATCCCCAAATTGAATCTGAAGTGGGAGCAAGATCCCAGTAAATGCAATTAAAAGGAGTTGATATAAGTGATGTATCAAATGAGCCAAGTACTCCTCAAGGTAATGGGAGGAGCTGGGATTATTTAGGGATGATGCGCCATCCCAAACACACAGCAGCAAGTTTTTTCTCACGCTCCTCATAGGTGAACACAAAACATATCACTTATATGCACACACACTGAGCAGTGAGCCCACACACATCCCTATCTCCCAGCTCAGGCTTCTAACTAAGTGATTTCTCCCTATAATCCACCCATACAGTAACCTAATGAGATTAACACTCTGTGTATGTCAGCTCAGGCCCGCACATGATTTATGGTTTTATATCCGATCCTCCTCTAATTAGTCACATCAGCAGCTGCAGTGCATGTGACACACAGACACACACGGAAAGTCACATGTTACATTACACATACAGAGCAATACTAACATCTGGCAAGGAAGTCCAAGAGGAACCAGGCTGTTTGGTAGCTGCACAGTTTTGCAAACACATGAATCAAAAAAAGAAAATGTGAAAAAAAAAAAAAAGATTCTTAAGAGGGGGAGAAATGATTTAACAGTTCAATACATGACGCAGTTATATTGTCAAAGACAGGCCATTTCTCAAGTAACAAGCACAAAATTCCTTTGGCCTTGAGCGCACAGAAATGAGGTTAGCTTTAATTTGAAATTGGGTTGAAGCAGTATCATGGCAAGCATGTTTGATCGCGCCTTTGAAATGGGATTATCAAACCCATTCAGATGGGCATTCCTCAGGCAGCAGGAGCCACAGTTAGAAGTCTACCTCCTCATTTTTAAAAGAGCCAACAATAGCTTTGTCAAATTTCAAACTTTTTTTTTTTTTTTGTATTCAAGTGATTCACACACACGCGCACACACTAACCTCCCAGCAGGGCTGCTGTCTCCACTCCAGCAAACTTCAGTTTTGGCCCGGGGGACAGGGGGATGCAGCATTTCAGCAGCTAGTGGATCTGCGTCTTCTTCCTCACGACCAACCCACTCCCCCACCACCCGAGGGCGCAACACTGAGTTATACCCTCCCAAGTTCTAAAAGAGCAACACAGAAAGATTAAGGGGCAAGACAACAAAGATAATGAGATGCAGATTTGAATGAAAAGGGGTACAGGAGAAAATGAGTCAGAGAAATGATATTAAATATTTTCTTAACACTGCACTGCAATTTCAACGACACTGAGACTATGTTCTTCAAAATAACAACTGTGTCTGTTCTTAGGTAGGATTTTAAAAAGCAGCACAATATTGTCTGAGATCTGCCTCCTAAAGCCAGCCAGCACACACTTACAGCTCAATACAAAAAGGCAAAGACACGTCTGCTCGTCTTTCACTAAATCCAGGATAGTATCGAATTCTATTGTGTCTGCATGATCAGAGCAGGTGTTTCGTATTCAATCTGTCCTGTCCCACGGAAAAGAAGGAAAATCTCTGGGCTCAGAGCCAGGGGCAGTGAGCATGTACTGCTGCACTGAGCAAAAAGTGAAGTCCCTGTCAAAACATATGCTGCGATTCTCATCCAGACCCCTCATTTCAAAATCGTTCTGTGTCCAGCCTGAGCAGCTCTGTGCATGTCCAGCCCGGGCAGACACTGCACTATTGTGCTGGGAGAGAATTGGGGCCAGGCAAGGACAAAGACAGAGCTCAGACAAAACTTTGCGAGTAAGATGCACAGTGAAGCAGCAAAAGGAGAAGGAGAGGGAGATGGAGGACATGCTCACTGAAGTCACATATCACTCCCATGAGATAGCAGTTCATCATCAGAAAAAGAGCTGTGCTGCTCTGTCAACCAAGTGGAAGTTACGAAACACAGGTTTTACTTGATGTAGTGAGAGCAATGCTGCAGAGCGATGAGCGACGCAACCGTTTCCGCGTAACTTTAATGTCAGTGTGTATATGAGTTTATCAAAGACTGCAGTCTAGTTAATATCTACCTGGTCGAGCTCATCAGAGACGGCGATGCCTGCAGAGGGAAGAAAAAGGTTTAAAGCACAGAGAAGCATCTAATGCAGTTCAAAATCCCAGCTTAGACTGTTTCTGAGCTTAGCGGTGAGCTTGTGAGATCAGCTGCTCGATCCGTTTTCCTCTCAGGATTTACAGTGACATTTACAGAAAGGTCTACACTTAAGTTCTGTATGTAAAGATGTATAAAGAGCTTCTCAGTATTGTGTAAAGCATGCACTCTGCTGAGCTGCAGCTACTCACTCCGTGACAGGCTCTCCAGGGCCTTGCCCAGCTTCTTGCTCTCCTGCAAAATGTGGTTGAGCTCGTCGAAGTCCCGACTCTCCCTCCAGTCCCAGGATGGGTACTCGACTGACCGCGGCACTGAACATCGCAAACACAAACACAAACACAAACATACAATATTCGGAGAGCACTGGAGATAAATAGAGTTTGAATTTTCTGTTAACAACAAGAGTAACTCTGAGCAAATATTCCAAAAATAACACCTGAAAAAAACGAACCATACTGTAATTTAATATGTAAACACCACAGCTTGATGTGGCGGTTACATATTGCAGCAGTGGAACAGAAACACTGGCAGAAAAGTCAAGGTGTCTCTTCCAGAAGCGCAGAGCTCACTGGCCAGAGGCCAGGGGACAGTGTCTGTCAGTCTCTTTGATTAACACTCAAAACAACTCAAACAGGAGCAGGAAATGACCCACATACTGTACTGACACCCTGCCCACGTCCTCTGGCAGTATCCCTCAGCTTATATATGATAGTTAATTCATAAACTGTTAGATTCAGCCATTATTTATAAAAAAGGCAAGAGCAATATTCCTTTATAGGCGGGGGATTACTTGTAGTTCCTCCATATCTAACATTCTTATGCTCTCTAACACATCTGAATTTGAATTAACATGAAAAACCAGTGGGCTATGAGGAGATGCCAAACAAATGTACTGGTTGTCCTCTCAACTACTTGCCACTGTTCACTGCCTGCACAGACACGTCGACTAGAATATTATGCAAATGATTTTTGAATGAATTTCAAGCATGTTTGAATGAAACATATGTGTTGACGGGTGCAAAAAAGTGAGCATCACGCCTCTGTTCGCGTTTGCACACACACACACTAGCAGTCAAATAAATAAACTAGCTAGTGAATATTTGACAGCGCTTCTGCTACAATCTGCCTTCCTCTACCCTTGTTTACCCTGACTAAGCTCCCTGGCATTGTAACAGCCATAAACATAGAGCAAATGTCTCTGCCAAATACAGGAAAAAAAATATATATCTTTCATTACTTCCGGCTAAGAGCGCCTTTCAGTCTCTCTGCTCTGCTCTGTGTGTTGTGCTGCTGCAGCAATGGGTTGTGCCGTGTCTTAGATAAAGGGTTAAGCATTCAATTCCCACTAGGGCTGCCCATTAAAGCATCAGTCAAATAGAAGTAAAACCAAAGCACATTAACCCTTTGCCAAACTGTACACAGAGAGGAGGAGCCTTCATGTAACAGTGAAGGATTCTTTTTGATATTAGTGGTATATTTATAACAGCTGTTGTGTTGTTGTCGCTACTTTGTACAATAATGATGAGAGGTAGTTCTTTTGATTTAAAATTTTCATGAGCCCTGCACACCGAAACACCTTTGCATGTATTTTTAATAGGATTTGACTTTAAATGCAGCTTTGAAGGCTTCTTACTCTGAAGGGGCAACAGCAACGCCGCTAATGCGCCTCACTTAAGTACACCTCTGTGTGCTGAATGGGGCTCACTTTATTCCGACTTCTCCGTCTCACTTGTTTTCTTTGACTCACTCCATGCACTCATCTCGACACCCATTTCCTTTTGATTGTGAGCAATTCTCCAACCGAAGCCTAAAATAGACATGGTCTGGCAGTGACAGAGCACAATGTTAAATTATTGAAAGAGTCTATGGCTCTGCTTGCTCCCCATCTGACCTAGCCTCATTGTCTCGAGTGCCATACTTCATTCTAACATCATAACTGTAGTAATTTATTACAGAGCTAAACGTTATCACCAGGAAAATCTTCTCATCTGCATCCATTCTGCATTAATGTGAGAACTTTGTGAAAAGTTCATTTTTACAGTGTGTAGGAGTGCAGCAGTAACTGTATGAAAAGTGGCACTTTATTACAAACTCATCTGCAGGGCTCTGAGAGGCTGGAAGGCCAAAGCTGGACTGCACACTGTGACTAACTTTAATTAGATATAATTATATCAAATTAAAAATGGAGATTAAAGCCAATGGAGCGTGTAATTGGGATACTACCGATACAACAGGTAGCTAAACTGTGCGGTTTCATATTCTGTAGTGGATTGTATGCGTCTGTGTGTGCAACAAAAAAAAAAAAAAAAAGGAGAAAACTTAGCACTTAGCCAAACTTAGAAAAGTGCAGATGGTATAAAAAAGGAAACTCACAAGACTTGGATTCTGGTGAAGGAGGAGAGATGCTCGAAACAGCCAGGTCACTCTTGGATTTCTTCGGTTTCTTTGGGTGAATTTGCCATGGCTTCTCATAGCTGCTGTACTCCCTTCGAGTGTTTTTGCTTTCTGTAAGGAGAGACGGTCACAATTACTGTTCAGAACCCCTTGCGATGCAAATTCTTGAGAGTAGAAATGGAGGTCAAGTACGTATGTACAAAGACAAATGCCTTATTCTGTATGTATGTGTAGATTATGCATGCTTGTGTTCGTGTGCACTGACCTGGGGAGCTCTGTGCCCACAGTGCTGCGGAGCCAGAGAGAGCTCTGTGCAACTTGCCAGGGCTGTCTTGCTTGGTCTGCAGGTGATCAATGAGAAAAGGGATTGGATGGTCTGGAGTCTCAGTTATCAATTTGGTCATCAACTCCTACAGGAGCAGAGTAAAGCAGAGAGCGGTTAGACCAACGTGGTACTACAAAGGGAGAGAAATAGAATGGCCAGTGGAGAATCCCACCATGCTGAAGTAGAGACAATCAATCCCTACAAGCTGTATAGGTCCTGTTTTGTAGCTGACTTGACTCTAAAAAAGGGAGAATAGGTGAAAACAACTGGCCAAAGTGGTTGAGATAACTCCCTTGCCTTCAATGTAGTTGCAGGAATTTTCTACAGCTAGTTTCAATATTGCTAAAAAAAAAGTCAAGGCAAACAAGACAACATGTCCCCAAAGATGGGAGCACTTCCCTTCTATATCAATTAGTAAGATACATGTCAGCAAGCTCCATCAAAGTCAGATCAGTCTGTCAAGACTCACGGACGAACAAGTAAACAAACACTGCAGACTTTGGGCAATCAGTGCATTTTTAAAGCGATGCTATGAAGCGAAAAGGCAAATCCGTTCCCAGATATGTCAAGAAATGAGCAGCATTTAATATCCTGGGTCTGATGGAAGAACAGGCAAATATAGAGATGGACTGATCATGACTCAGTGATGGCACACAGAAGCTTCCGATTTCAGTACTGGGAATAATCATGTCACTACAATGAGGAAAAAGACACCATTATTTCATTCCAACTGGGAGATGACTTGCCTTCCAAAAATAGATTTTGACAATTATTGGTAAACATGTAATTATTAAAAAGACACCGAGCACTATGAGAACATGAAAGGTGAAATATTCAGAAAGTTTATTATATTATGAGGAGATGAGTCAATTGCTCATAGGAGAGCGTGACAAATTTAACTGACAAAAGGAAAGCAGCCAAAAAGAGGGAAAATACTGCAGAAGGTGGAAAAGAAGGAAAGAACACAGGGAGTCACAGTAACAGGTGCTGAGGGTAGAGGCCACATCTTACTCTGCATGCTAATTCAAAATCCTTCAAATGCATGATGGGAATTCAGTTTCAAATGCGCCAATCATGCCATAACTAATCATGTCCTATGTCTGAGCTTTGCCAACGCTGAGGGATGGGAACACACTGACATGGTGAGGTAAAACTACAAATGCAATGTGAAAAGCATTGATCACATTCTGCAGGATACTGAAAACTACTTTTGGCACCAAAGCAAAACTGTTTTTTTTTTTTTGTTACAGCTGGAGGGGGAATAATTGTCCCTCTGAAGCTGGTGTGTGATGTGAAACGAGTACATGTATATGTGTCCGTGTGTGTGTGTGTGTGTGTGTGTTTGTTGGCATTATATGGCATGAGAATGAACTCCTTTTGACCAGTCTGAGTCAGTCACAGCAGCTGTGGCTGACTTCAGGATGACTGCTGCAGAGAAGCAAAGAAAGTCATTAGTGGACTGCAGTGAATTGGTGATGTAATGTAATGTATGGAGAGAATGAGTGCGTGCATGTGTGTGTGTGTGTGTGTGAGACTGCAGGTTTTGTGTGTGAGTGGCACATTTACATGTGTAACTGCAGCAAAACAAAGTCATGTAGTCCTATGCTTTGATGGCTGGTTTGCGTTTGCCCTTGTGGACATGCTCATGTATCTGTATGTGTGTCTTTCTTTGGTGGGGAGGGCTACGGGGAGACAGCCGTGTGTGTATTATAGCTGGCTAGCCTTGGCTGCACTGTGTGTGCTCAGAAAGCTAATCAGGTAATTGGTCAGGGGGACATTCCTGCCCAGCCCCAGTGTCTACAGCAGCTCTGACAGCAAACAGCATGTGTAGGAACAAACAGGGATCGTGCTCAAATGTTTCACTGCAGACTGCAGGTGTAAGAATGGAGGAACCCCACACCTCTGCCTGTGAGAGATAAAGTTGAAGTGATCTACAAGAGAAATAGTCACATGAGAGAATCCTGTAAGAAAATAAACAGCACATTAAGATTTTAGAAAAGCATCTCTCCTCAAAACTGCGATGGATTTCTGTGGCCAGTGTCTAACAATTATAAACCACTAAACATGCAAAGATGTAAAAGTTGTAATTACTGCTTAGTAGCTCCTGTGGGTAATTTAACTAACCTACCAACAGGAGGTCTATAAATGAAGGTTGTAATTTGGTAGATTACACAGGAAGCCCAACTAGCAGAACTCCGTTAACTACCCCGGGGGTTTCCAAGTCTTAATAGTTTTTTTGTGGGGAAGGGGTAGAGTGAAGGATGTGCACTTCCTTTAATGGATGGACTGCCGAGTGTTGATTTTCAGGATTGTTTCTCCCCAGTGGAGGCCGCACATACGGATGTGTAGAGAGGATAACACATGAGTTGGAAGCGTGAAATAAACAGCGGCGAACTGCAAAGACAGATGGACAGATAGCGTCGACCCTGGGGACTGCGAGAGAATGGCAGCACATGCGGGTAACATCTGCATTCTGCCCACGTCTGTTCTGTAAAACTCTCTCGTGCCAACATATATCGATTGAATATCCTACAGAGCGTTTTGCATCTATGACACAAGCTGCTGAATGAGCTAATGCACCTTTGTACCTTCGTGTCCTTCAACATCTCCAATATCATCATAAAAAAAAAAAAAGACTTATTATAAAAGACATATAAGAAACTGATCCCACTGAATCTGCACGGTGGATAAGCATACATTACATAACTCACATATAGAGCAGAGCAAGGTAACTGTATCCTACACTTTCTATGGTAATGAGGTGTTTTAAATAATGTGAGTCATGTTTGAGGCGCTCTTGCAGTTTGACTGGTAATCATATTTTCTTTCACAGGAGCCATAGTAAGATGTACACGAAAATTTGGGTCAACATTTCTATGTACAAGCAAACTTTAATGCTATTTGGTTTGGAGTGACTTGCATCAGCAGAACAGCATCCTTAGCATATGTTATGTGTGTGTGCATGAGTGTGTGAGAGAGAGATAAAAGACAGGCAGAGAGTTTCAGCATCTGTATCGGTGTTCTATAAGCAGGCCAATAGGTGGCATGAGCAACTGAGACATGCCGTCCCATATCTGTGCAGAGCCGTTGTCAGGGCGAGATATCTGTACGCCCCCAGGCAGTTTGGTTCGGCGGTGGCTGTCAGCCAACCAAAAGAGACCCGTGTCCTTGGAAGCTCTCAAGGACTCCCTCCGGGTACAGTGACAATCATGATACTCTCACTGACGCTCCCTGCATCTCTGCAACTTAAACAAACTCCCCAAACTGACAGCGGACAGAGTCTGAGAGAGGAGGGGCCGGTAAACAGGGGAAGTTCTGAAGGTCATACATGGGTGGTAGATTAGAGAGAGACATCCACAGAGAGAGTTTCACGGGGGAATAAAATGGGGAGGGGGGAGGGGGGGGGGGCATTAACAGGGTGGTGAGTAACAACAAATCCCAAGTTCAGTCTCTGGTGACAGAGACCAGCCTCCCTGCTTAAGTGTCCTTATGAGTTCCATTTCAAAATACAGGCACTTTTCTCTTGTGGGAATCAAAGGAGGTATTATAAAGAAAGTCCATGAAAAGTGCACAGTAAAAAAAAAAAAAGAAAAAAAGAAAAAAAAAGAAAAAGGGGATTGAAAAAAAAGAAAATTAAAAAAATCAGATATCGTCAGTTGATGCAGCTACATAAACTCTACTAGCGACTTTGCCTCAGCTTTACTTTCTCACTGGGAAAACTGCGAGCTGATGAATTTCCACCTCAGTTGCTGCCGACTCCTGGTGGATTGTGAGGAGTCACTGAACCACCGGCACACAACACTTCCTCTGCTTGGGCCAGATTTCTATCATGTCTGTGTTCCTGGGAGGCAGTAATATACTATATATATATTTACAATATATTTTTTCCTTGTTAAAAAATAAGCATCAACCTCACATCTTTTCTTCACGACTTGTTCATGTAAATGTAAATGCAGCCACACTGCTCTTCCAAGATTCCCAACAGGGCTCCCTGTCGCCTGTACTAGAGGCCAGTGGCTGCCATTGATTTACCTGCCATTTGTCAGTGAAATATGGCAACGCAGAGTTATATCACAGGGTATTTAAGGTGACGTCTGTGTGGCTGCCCAATGGTCTTCATATACAGAAAAGGTCATTATTGGAAAAAGAAAAAGAGAACAGCGTGATGAGCCTGTTTAGGTGAAGATGAGAAGAAAGGGAGAGAAAAGATGCCACTGGAAGAGATCCAGACCTTGAATAAGAGACAAGAGCAGAAGAGGAGACCGTAGGAGAGGCAATGTCACCTAACCAGGCTGGCACTACCAGATAATACTCATCAGGAGGAGATGCTTTTATCTGCTTCACTCACTCAATTGTGCTGCACTGCCTCAAGTCCATTTTCATCACTGCATGTTTTGCAGTAGCACAAATGTTCCTATCTCTTTTGTGGCAATTTTAGCATGAGTAATGGGGGACTGGCTCATTAGTCATTTTCATTTTTCTATATAAATGTAAAATAAACATTTGGGGGTCTTGGATTGTTTTTTGGACTAGAGTAAATCTTTTTGTGCATTTTTCAATGAGGTTTCGTCGTGTCTTAAATAAGAAAGCTCTTATCTCTCAGGTTTTGACTTTATTCTGCTATAATTGAAATTCTCCTATTTCTTCTCGCTGTAATCTGATGTCTCTGCATCTGACAGATATCAGTGCAATTCTGCCACTTCCCTACCACCACCACCACCACCGTGATCTCCGGGCTGTTACAGGACATTTGGGCTGAGAGTTTCCATCACCCACCTGCAGCTGAACTCCTCCACCAGTAGCGTCTATACTCGACAGGATCCTTTGCTATCTCATATCATCATATGTAACTACGCTTGATGAGCATACTGTACTTCACATAGATGGGGGGGTCTAGTCACCCATCGTTCTCTGCTCCTAACCTCAATAAATACTGCATAGACTTCTATCTGAAGTCTTCTTGCTGAACTATTTTCTCACATTCTATAGACAAACTGATTATCCAAATGACTGAGACAAACAAATAATGAAAATAATCATTAGAAAAAACTCAGTTACAGATCATTTGATTTGTTCCAGAAGGCA